AATATTAGACATTTGACTTGGAAATTGTTTGATTCCCCATTCCCCTGATCATCCCATGTAATTCATCTCTGGGGAGTCTAAACTGAATTTACTTCTAAAAGAAGAAAATTTCCCAACTCACAATTAGGGATTTGGCACAGATTAGTGTGAATTTTCTTTCTAGTTTGAAATCTGGGAGAAGGAAACCCCCAATCATATCTTTATCAACTAAAGCTCTTACATATAAATTCTAAATCTGTAAAATTTTATAATGGGCACAATATCTGTGAACCTATGTCATCAGATTTGGTGGACTATGGTCCTTCTTTAAGATCTGCAGTTCCCAATCATTTTATCTTTGTTGAAACCTCAACTCTCTCTCTTTGAATTTGAAATTCTGTTTGATGAATTATGAGAAAGGTCAGTTTAAGTGACATGATATATGCCCTCCCCCCCGAAGATAAATTTGATCAGGACAAGGAAAACCTGAAGCTATAGATAATTCAACTCAGACTCATGATAGATATACAAAGTTTTATTAATTAACATACCTAGGAAAAAGTCACCATACCTGGCTCTGAGGTTTCAGAATTCTTGTGTCAGGGTAAATAATTTCAAGAATAATTCCCTCTCCCTTCAAGTATCTCTCAGTCTCAGAAAATGCCTGAAGTCTGGCCCTAAGACACTCAATATAAATGGGCCTATGAAACCCTGGGATCCCACTACTATCCTCTTCTGTGCCTACACTGATTAGTCAGAGATCCTTCTTTGTTAAATATCACCATGCGGATTATTTACATTGCTCTTTGCCATCACCTTTACTAACCATATACCACATCATTTACAGCATCCATTGCTTCTCATGCTACTGCCAAGGAGGCAGATGAAATGGATGTGTCCACCCAGAGATTCCTCTTGGTTCTTGCTACACTAGCCAACCTCTCCCTTTAGCATTTACTTCCTGTACCTCCTTCTATGCTTTGTAGTAACTAATTAGTTCTTCAGTTCCTTCAGCCCATTCTAATCTTCTAATTAGGCACAGTCAGGTGCACCTCAGGGAGGGATTAATAGATGTTTAAGTGATTAGAATGCTGGCACAGCTGTTAATCCCCAGCTTTCTGACACAGAGCTCCTGCATTGATCTTCAGTTTTTCAAGGGAACTAGATTCAGCCAGACAGCTCTTTACAGATATTGATCTAAAGTTTACAAACTTCATTTACCATATAACTCTATATATTTATAAGGCATCTTTAGTAGTCTCAAAATGTTCATGAGAGGTGGAAGATGGAATTGTCTTGTTAGCGTATAGTTTCTAGAAACTGTAAATGAGACAACAGCTCTAGAGCAGAAAACATTCTGGCAAGATCTTTAACTCAATGGTACACTGTCAAATAATATAAAGGAGAACTCTTCAGGTCTACAAGAGGAGTCTCATACTTATTTATCTTGACACCTCCTCTCAGGATTTTATATCCATTTTTCCTCAGATAAATCAGTAGAGCAAAAAGTTGTAAAATGTAATAGGGTCTCTCAAGTTTGACCCTCTCTCCTCTTCTACGACAATCAGTTTTACCCACTCCCTTTCCCTGAAGTGAAGTGGTACTTTGTTTAGACCAAGGTGGATAAATGACCATTTTTTAAAAAGTAAAAAAATAAATTATTTTTATTTAATTTTTTTTTATAAAATGCTTTTTTTTCCCTAAAGCATTTTAATTATGATACATTATAGCTCAAAGATCTCATCATGGAATAGGGATTATAAATTCTAATTCTATAGTATGAGAATATATTCATATAATGTTTAAGAAAAGTTTTGCAAATGAGTTCTAATAGTTCACGGATTAGGGATCCAATCTTACAGGGTTCCAGAGGAATCTGTATAGATTATTTAGGTTCCTCTTTCTATCTATCCAGTGGGACTCCATGTTCAGTCTAGAAGATACCGCCCAGATGCTTAGTTTTGCAGTTCTCAAACTGTAGATTTATATCTCCAGAAAGAACATGCTCATTAACAGCAAAAATGTTTTTAAATAAATGATAAAGGTGAGAAGTAACAGACTTCAACCTTACTTTCCCTCTTCAAACTTGCGTATGCAAAGTCTATCTCTCACCTCTCTCTAAAGTGAAAATTTTAAAAAAGTTAAATGAATAGAAGATAGTTGGGGACAGAATAGATCTGGACAAGGAGAAGAAGTCTGGAGACAAATGTGAGAAAGGAGGGACAGGCAGTAGAAACAAAAGTAAAACTGGTTGACCAGCATATTCCAAAAGTCTTGAGGTCTTTCTTTATTGATTTGAGATCTACCATACCATTCTCTCAGTACACGAGAAAACCTATAATAGCAGCAGGCTGTAAAAGAGACCCAGTTTGGTAATTGCTCAGCACATCTGAAAATCAAACCCTAGGTAACTTGCCCAAGATCATGTTGGAAGTCTGTGGCACTCCAAAAACCTCAATATCATCGTAGTTTGTGCTTTAATTTCTCTCAAAATTTACAGCTCCCGTATAATGTTAACAGACCACAATAATCCAATAACCAGTTTTATCAGACTGTTGATTGCCTACTACTTTTCTTCCTATTTTAAAACCTTTGCTTTTACACTTGCCATCTACCTACTTATTTAAGAACATTGCTAAGAAGTAAAGGTTTTAGCAAAATGCCTGTGATTTGATTCTGAAATACAATATAGTGCTTTTAAAGACAGACACCGCAACAGTGGATTATAAACACAATGAAGGATAAATATGGTACATTGGATAGAAGTTATATTTTGTTCCTTATCCACTATTCTTATATCCAGCTATCACATAATACAACTTTTTTTTCCAGAGTTAGGGTTCTTAAACAGTTCAAACTACTAAACATATTTTATAAGTACTATACTTAAAAATGAACATATCTACTCACCTTTTTTGAGGAGATAGATACAGACTGTAAATCATCTGTCTGGGCAGAAACACTTTCAGTCACAAATGCTATATGATCTGCATCAGGTATTTTATCAGAATAAATAAAAGGTGATATGAGAAGTAGAGTCCATTTGTTTAAGTCATCAAGGGACTAAAAGAAACAAGAAATAAAGAAGGATGAATATATTTGGGAAATTCCTTGGAAGTATCTTTATGCTCCTTAATTAGCAAGTACTTAGCTTTTAAGTAGGGATATTGAACGAAATTTGACTAATCAAATAGTCGATGAAATCTGCATCGCCTATTCGATTAGTCGATAAGGTAGCCTCTGCCTTTGAAGTGCACAAACAGCTCCAGGGCTGTTGCTACACTTCAAAGGCGAAAACACTGCGGGGAGCCCGGAGCCAGTAAAGTAAGGCAGTCCTCCACTGGCCCCATACTCCCTGCAGTGTTTCAAAGCGGCAGCGCCCCGTAGAGCCTGGGGTCGGCTGGCGACTCCCCCGCTGACCCTGGGCACTACGGCTTTGAAATGCCACAGGGAGCCCAGCATCAAGGTTCACATGGTGTTTCAAAGCAGCAGCGCCACACGGAACCTGAGGTAAGTGGGGGAGTTCCCAGCTGATACTGGGCGCCACACACGCTGCCACTTTGAAATGCCGTGTGCAGCCTGGGGACTCCCCAGCTGGCCCTGGGTTGCACATAGTGTTTCGAAGTGGCAGCCCTGCTTTGAAGCACCCTCTTCTCTCCCCCCCGACCTCCCTTGCTGCCTCTTTCTGATGAGACAGCAGGGGAGGGAAGGGACTAGTCAAATACTGTGTTAAGCAAATGCTTATTGGATAGTCATCAAATAGCCAACTACTCGGCCAGTTGTTCACATCCCTACACCAATTACAGTAATTTTCCACTATCTTGCACATTTAAACAGCTAACTCGATACTTATATGACTGGCTCTTTTTGTATCAACCTTTAAAGCCAAGCTACCAATTTCCTGTTACACAGGAGAGTTAGGGTATGTCTACACTAGCTCGGTAGTTCGAGCTAGGTAGGCAAATGAGGGCAACCGGAGTTGCAAATGAAGCCCAAGATATAAATATCCCGGACGCCGCCATTTTTAAATCCCCCTTAGTCCGAACTCCGTACCCGCGGCTACACGCAGCACGGAGTAGGTAGTTTGAATTAGGATCTCTAATTCGAACTACCGTTACTCCTTGTGGAAGTGCTGCCCCCGAGCCACTGACTGGAGGTTTTAGGGCCGTGGTCACCAACTGGTCAATCGCGAGGCCTCGACCAGTCGATCGCGAGGCGTCCTCTCTGCCCCACCCCCATTTCCCTCCCACCCCCGAGAAGCCCCACTACCTATCTCAAGTGAAAATGGAGGTAGTGTAGGCTTCCCAGGGATGGACAGAAGTCCGAAGCTTAGCACCACTTCCGGCAATTCCGGAAGTAGTGCTAGCTGCTCTGCCGGGTGTATTGAGGGAGGGAGCATCGGCTCTCTGCACCGCACAGGAGGGGTGAGTCAACCCCGGAGGAGGCAGTCAACCCCAGGGCAGGCACGCGTGGGGTTTCCCTGCACCCCGGGGGGCGTGCAGGCGTGCACAGGGGTTTCCGCCCTGGGGCAGGCATGTGCAGGGTTTTCCTGAGCTGCGGGGGATGGGGGGGTTGGCCCAGGGCAGGCACGTGTGGGGGTTTCCGCCCCGGGGCAGGCGTGCATGGAGTTTTCCTGTCCCACTCCCGGGGCAGGCGTGCGCGCGCGCGCGAGGCTTCCCTGCGCCAGGGGCTGGGGGTGTCAGCCCCCGGAGCAGGCGCACACGGGGCATTTTCCTGCGCTGGAGGGGGTCAGCCCCGGGGCAGGCACACACTGGTTTCCCTCTGGGGGAGGGGAAATCCTGGGAGGAGGCAGATACAGGGGACTCTCTGCCTCCACTGGCACACAACTCCAGGCGTGCGCGCGCGCGCGAGGCTTCCCTGCGCCAGGGGCTGGGGGTGTCAGCCCCCGGAGCAGGCGCACACGGGGCATTTTCCTGCGCTGGAGGGGGTCAGCCCCGGGGCAGGCACACACTGGTTTCCCTCTGGGGGAGGGGAAATCCTGGGAGGAGGCAGATACAGGGGACTCTCTGCCTCCACTGGCACACAACTCCCACGCCCCTGTTCCCAGCTACAGAACTCTGTCCCTATTCCTGTCCCCACTGGCACTCTGTCCCCTGCTGCAGAACCCTGTCCTCTGCCCACCCAGCACCCTGTTCCCTCTTCCCTGTCCCCAGCCGCAGAACTCTGTTCCCACAAAATGTATAATTGTAAATGCTTCATTTTAGATTTAAATAGCATGAATAAAAAACAGACCATTTATTTCATAACTATAAATGCATGATTTTAATTTTATACATCGCATAATTTAAAAATAAACTGTTTATCAGAGTGTGTAAGTAAGGGCTGGGGATAGCAAATGATGGACAGGAGGAGAATAGAGAGGGCGGGGCTTCAAGAAAGGGGCGGGGCGGTAGATCTTCACCTGTTCAGAGATTTAAAAAGTGATCTTGGGTGTAAAAAGGTTGGAGACCACTGTTTTAGGGCAATATCCCTGAGGCTACGCATGTGCACACCTGCAGCTGCATGCTCCTAGGTGGCAGGCATCATGAAAGCGTGATCTCCACCCCCCAGTTCCTTTTCTACCCTGGAATAATGCCAGTGAGGAGGCCAAAATTCCTAAGCAGAGGAGAGGAAAGGGAGGGTAGTGGAACACCCATGGGGACACATCTCAAAGAAGGTCAGTTATTGTTCAGGTGAATAACCTCCTCTTTGAGAGAGAGATGTCCCCGTGGATGTTCCACATTAGGGGTACGTCTACACTACATGCCTCTGTCGGCAGAGGCATGTAGTGTAAACACAGCCTAGGTGACTACAAAACTATTCTGGATTAAGTAGGTAGGGACTTTGGCTCTTGCAGAAATGCAGTGGAAAGGACTGCCTTAGCAAATTTCAGGATGGAAAGAGGTCCCTGTGTAAGCGCGTAGTGCTTTGCAAAGGTGTGGTCTAACAACCAGGTAACAGCTGCACAAATGTCTCTTATGGGCAGGGCTTGACAAACGGCGGAGAAAGCCGCTCGCCAGCCCCGCACTGCACATGCGCAAGAGCCGCATTGCGCATGCCGCTGTTAAACGGGGCGTGCGGCTGAAATCTACTCTCCACGGGCAAGTAGATTCTATAGTTTATTGAGCCCTGCTTATGGGTACTTTACAGAGGAATGCTATTGAGGTAGACATGGCTCTGGGAGAATGTGCCCTTATGTTGTCTGGAGGGACCACTTCTGATTGGGAGTGACAGAGCTTAATATAGTCTGAAATCCAGGCAGAAGTCTTTGTGATGAGAGGGCCTGGCCCTTATTATGGTTTGCTATTGACAGTCTTGGAGACGCTCGAAAAGGTCTAGTTCATTGTAGGTAGAAAGAGCACGCTCTGTACAGGTCAAGGGCGTGTGTTTTTATCTCAGAGGAGTTGGCATGAGGTTTGGGGGAAAAGGTAGGAAGAGGTATTGTCTGAGGCGGAAGGATGAGCATATCTTGGGAAGGAATTTGGGGTGGGTACATAAAGAGCTTGTCTTTAAAAAAAGGTGGTTTATAGGGGATCCACCAATAGGGCTGATATCTCTCCCACCCATCTCACCAAAGCAATGGATAAGTGCAGGAGAGAGGAAGTAGCCATTGGTTAGAAGGGTGGCTGGGTTGAAGTGTTCAGTAGAAGGTGCAGGTCCCATGGTTGTGTTGGTGGGGTGATATCAGGATAAAGTGCTAGAAGACTCTTTAAAAGCGTCTTAGTGAGTTGATGTGCAAATATCCACGAGTTGTCTATCTTAAGGTAGAAGGTAGTAATAGCAGCAAGGTGAACGTTAATGGAACTTATTGCAAGGCCTGCTTATTTAAGGTAGAGAATATAGTCAAGGATGGCAGGTAAGGAGGCTGTTGAGGGTGCTACCTGGTGACGTACACACCACATGATGAATCTTTTCCATTTTTCAAGCTAAGTCTTACGAGTGCTCTGCACCCTACTGTGTAGAAGGACTGTTTGTACTTCTTGTGAGCAAGTCAGTTCTAGTTCAGAGAACCATTGAGGAGCCACACCTTCAAGTGTAGCGAGTCAAGGTTTGGTTAGGTGGCATGGGGTCCTGAGGGAAGAAGGAGATCATGGCTGTGTGGCAAGTGGATTGGCATCACTCAGGACACTCTCATTAGAAAGGAAAACCCATGGTTGATGTGGCCATGATGGAGCTATAAAAATGAGGTGTGCTTTGTCTTTCCTTGCCTTATGGACCATCTTGTTCAACAAGAGTATGGGGGGGAAAATGCATTCAGGAGGTGCCATGACCAGCTGACGAGGAAGGAGGCTCCCATAGACCCTTTCCTGATGCCTACCCTGGAGCAGAACAGGTGACATTTTCTGTTGGATTGTGTGGCAAATAGGTCTATGGTGTGGTGGCCCCACTGTCGAAAAATACACAACAATATGTGCAGGTTTATTTGCCACTCGTGCTCAGTCAGGTGGGCTCTGCTGAGTCCAGCTGCCATCATGTTTAAGATGCCTGGAAGGTGCACTGCGGTAACATTTATGCCGTTTTTGAGGCAACAGATCCAAAGTGCTATGGCTTCTGTGCAAAGTGCTCAAGATTGGGCCCTGCACAGATGATTTACACAAAACATTGCCGCAACATTGTCTACATACAGTCTGACATGACTGTTGACAATGATGGGAGGAATTTCACACAAGGATGTCTGACTGCCCGCAGTTCTAGGACATTTATATGTCGGTTCTTGTCGCTGCTGGACCACAGACCCTGGGTCAAGTGATGTCGTAGGTGAGCACTCCATCCTCTAAGGAACATCTGTCATCATGGAGACGGATGGTTCTGATGGATAGAAGGGGAATCCAGAACAAAGGTACTGTGGACTTGTCCACCATTTCAGGGATTTCTTTACCAGTGTTGGGAGGATGAGGGATTTGGATAGTGGGTGGATATTGGGCTTGTAGACCTGTCCCAGTCATCCCTGTAAACATCTCATGGGGAGGCAAGCCTTGCGGACAACAGAAATTGCACCCCACCACATGCCCCAGGAGCTGAAGGCAATTATGTGCTGTTGCTCAGGGACTGGACAGTAAGGT